GATGTATATATATATGCATATATATACACATATCATACATATATATACTTTATATACTTATACAGTATGTAAGAATATGCTTATACAGTTTACATATCATTGTGTATTGCACACGGATCTGATCCGAGATAGCGGATCAGATCCAAAGGGTCGGATCTGATCCGCCTCGGGCCAGAAGCCCAAATCTGATCCGACGCAGTGGATCTGATCCAACCGCCCTGGATCTGAAAAATAGATCCTGTGGACCCCAGGGCGCGCGGGGGCGCCTGTCTGTCGCGTCTCGTCGGTGGCCGAGGCCCTCCTTTCGCATTCCCCCGCGAAGTCCGTCTCGTGCCCCGTCGCCATTCTCGCAGATGCGTTGAAAATGGCAAACACATCGCCTGCCAGGTGAATGGCAGCAGGAATCCACGCGTAGAGGCGAATCTCGAGCAGCGCAATTTCCCGCGGATCCTCGCGGCCCCCGTGATTGCCACCATCCGCATGCACAACCCTGGGCGCCCAGGGGGCGCGGATGCTCTTGGCAGCGCGCCAGAGGCACTCCGCGAAAACAAAGCGTTGCCACAAAGATTTCAGCTGCTCTTTCCAACAATGAACTCCGACTCGTCCGTTCTGAAGCCCCCAAGTGCGAGCGTCGGACGGCGAGGGCGGGCGCCCCTCAACGCGGGGGCGCAGACTGTGGACGGGGGAACCGCGCTAGTGACGAGCCCAATTCGTTTTCTGCACTTCGTCCATCTTCTCCCCCGTGGCAATGAAGGGAAACGTCGCCCTGGCAGAAGCGCAATTGCCCGCGGAATTCTTCGCGCTTGCCGCTGCCCATTTGAGTTTGCCAAGCGTCGACGCATCCTATCCCCTGATGCTCGATCGCAAAAGATCTCGAATAATAAATAATGCCCGCGGAGGAATTTGATAATCTGAACCTCGTGGGGCCGACTTCGCCCCCTTCCATGCGCCGTTCGCTCTCCTGACTGGTCACTGAGTAGGTGGGCCTGTCGTGGGCCGGAAGTTTCGAGGGCCCGCCGCCGTTCTGGGCGAACTCAGCGCGGCGATTTTCCCTGGTCAACAGGCGCTCGAGCAATAAATCTGGCTGCCGATCATGCTTCGAGCGTTCATCTGCTAGGGGAGCTTCTCGTCGTGGCACCTGGTGATTATTTGGCGCGGCTTGCGCTCGGGCCATCGACGCGCGTCGTCTGTCTCGACGGCGGCGGCGGGGCCTGCCCCGGGCCGGACTTGGCGGGGCCAGCTCTTCCTCTTCTTTTCGGAGCCAGGCGGCTTGAGCCAGGGCTCTTCCCTTCGACGCATATCCCGGAAGTCCTCCCCCAACTGTCCTGAGCCTGATGATGTCTTCCCGACTCTCTTAGGAGGCGCCACTAACGGACGTGCTGATTGGGCGCTTGCAGCGGTCGGCCGGCCCGGGCCAGGCCCGCGCCCTGGGCGTCGTCGGTCTGCCGGGCGGGCCGGCGCCAGAGACTGTCCTGGGCCGGCGCGCCCGCGGCAGGCGGGGCATCCGCGCCCGTGACTCCAGAGGCGGCTGAACCGTCCTGAGCATCTGGGTCGCGGCCGACCGCCGGGGCCGCCTCCGCGGCGCGCGTGTGCTCGTTTGCCGCGTCGCCAAGAATCTGAGATGAGGCAGTGATAAACTTGCGATCGCTAGGGGGCGTGCCCGCGATGTATTCTGGAGGGACCCGGGGTAGGATCTCCCCCCAATTTGCAATTTCTGGGACCCCGCAATAAAGTTGGCAAACTCACGCGACTCATTGGGTATGATCGCGCCTGGGGCGCAAGGAAAATAGTCGGGTCAAGGTCTTGGGCAAATATTTGGAACTCGGCGCTTGAGATGGGATCTTGCACCTCCCGTGTGGGCGACAATTTGTCCAGAAATGCCGGCGTTGCTCAAGCGCCGACTCAGCGTCTTCGCGCTCGACCGGGCTTCCCGCTCCGACGGCGGAGCCGCGGGGAGGTTGGCTGTGTAAGAGCGTGGCAAAACGACTCGCTTTGATGATGTATGACGCGAACAAATCCCGCGCTTCCGCGCATTCCCACGCGACGCGCTTGCACGACGGATGGGCGAACAGGTATTGGAAAGCATCGTTATGATGGTGCTTTAGGGTGAACAAAAGCGATGTCTTGTCAAGAGTCATTACTTTCGAAAACACTCCCGCCGCTCTGTGCTGTCCAACCCCCGTTGTCATGGTAGCACGCACCAGCGTAGCGATATCATTCCACAACTTTCCCACCTGACGGTCACCTGACCCAGAAATCCAACGCTGGCGGTCACCACCAATTTAGACATGGATCAGATTCCGAGGAATACGAGGCACAGTCTCGTCCATGAGAGCACATGCCTCAAACTGGGACACACCATCGGGCCTGAATTCGGCACCCTCTTCAATTGCCTGGTGAGATCCTCCGAAACGCCGCTGGGACAACAACAAGTATGGGCAAAAAGCTAAGCAGTGCCCTTTCCCACAATATTGAATTTTTCCTGGGTCCAACCAAGTTG